ATATTCATACTGAGTTAAAACTTAGTATTCCCTTCTTTTCACCTAACATTAAATCTTTAAATAGTTTCCATATGAATTTATTATGTTAATATTGCATGTGTTAAATAACAGTTCTCTGTATTGTTGGCAAAGATTTCCTCCCAACATTTAATTAATATAGACATATTTGTAATAAACGTTTTTATGCACACAGCTATGTAGTTCTTGTGAAATATTTTCTTAAAATAAATCCCTAGAAGTACTCCAAGTTTAAATGGCATAAACATTGTTATGTGTGCTGACATATATTATAAAATTACTATAAAAGATGGTTGCATTGACATCACTCACAGCAATAGATGAGGGTTTGATCAGCATTGGCAACAGCATCTCAGTTTCTGAATGCAAACTTGGATGAATTGCAGAACAGCAGATGGAATGTTTCTTATGTACAAAAGAATCTCACTCCTGGCCCAATTATGTTATCTTTCTACCTATCATTTAAAAATATTTTTATTGTGGTAAAATATATATAACATTAAACTTACCATTTTAATAACTTTAAAGTGTAACATCAGTGGCATTAATGATGTCGTACAAGTAACATCACTGTCTATTCCAGAATTTATTTATCATCCCAAATAGAACCTCCATACCCATCAAATAGTTACTCCCCATTTCTCTCTTCCCCTATCCCCAGGCCCTGGAAACCACTAACCTGCTTTATGTCTCTATGATTTGCCTATACTATTTCCCACAAGTAGAATCAGGTGTTCAAGCAAAAAAAGTGTACATATTCATAGCACCTCTATTCACAATAGGGAAAAGCTGGAAATGACCCAAATGCCTATAAACAGATAATTGAATAAACAAAATGTGATATATTCATGCAATGGTATATTGCTCAGCTATAAGAAAGAATGAAATACTGATACATTCTACAATGTGGACGAACCTAAAAAACATTATTCTAAGTTTAAAAACACAGATATTCATCTCTTTTATACTTTGTCAAACCATTTTAACAGTGTACATCAACACAAACAGTTCAGGAAGATGAAATACTGTTGAAAGGAACAAAAGATTCAGCAAAAAAATGCAACCTAAAACACTCATTTTCTGGGACTGACTTTATGCTAATTAAATGTAAGAAGCATTTATTGAGCACCACTGGGAGTCACTATTCTATGTGCTAATGCTATAAACTGAATTAAAAACAGCCCTGATTTCAACAAAATGATGTCCTAGGAATGATATAAGCATGTCAATAAATAATTAACATGTTTAACATGCACAGTGTATTATACAGAACAATATATTCTGTGTTGTGAGACCTAGATGAGGGAAAAACTAATTCTGTCTGGAGAAATCAAGGAAAGATACAGAAAGGAGGTATCGTTTTTGTTTCGTCCTGAACTTTCAGTAGGGACTGTCAGGCAGGGAACTGAGGTTTAAGTGTGTTAGGGCAAGGTAAATGACTTTAACCTTCTCCTTCCTTTATTCTGATTTAGATCTCTATGGGTCTCACAATTGTTGAAATTGGGGCTGTTTTTTATTCAGTTTATAGCATTAGCACATAGAATAGTGACTCCCAGTAGTACTCAATAAATGCTTGTTAAATTTAATTAACATAAAGTCAGTCCCAGAAAAATTAGTGTTTTAGGTTGTATTTTTTTGCCGAATCTTTTGTTCCTTTCAACTGTATTTATGTTCCCATAAAGTAATATTACATCGGTGCAAAAGGGACTGCCATTTTGCCATTACTTTCATTAGGAAAACCGCAATCACTTCTGCACCAGCTTAATATCACTTTATCACTACAGTTTTGAAATAAACTGAGAATAATTTTTATTTTATTTTTACAAAAAAGACAACTCCAGCGTTAAGGATGCTCAGTGACAATTTTTCAGTATTAGTATTGTCAATATTAATTGGCATTAATAATATGGATACAATGCCACCATTTTTTAGTACATTTTTATTGGTTTCTAAGAAGAAATAGGATATAGATTCAGCGATCTTCTTACATGAAAGGGAAAAGTTTCACTGCTTGTTAGAGTTGTAATAATTTTAATTCAAAACACTTCTGACTGGTCCTTCAAATGAATGAAAAAGTGAGTCTACCATCTCTGACTCTGAATGCTCATAGTGCAGAATGAGTACCCAAAACATACAGTAGATGTGCCACTGTGCCTCCTTCCTGCTCCATGACAGGTATGTCTAATTAATGATTATGGTCATTGCTGATGAGTGCAGACATGCCTCTGAATGCCTATTCATATAGGCAGCCATACCATGATTAATCAGTAGCAACTGAGAGAATTCTATTGCTATGTCTGTCAGAGAGGAGAGTGTATTGAGTTAGAAGTTGTGGATTTGAGGCCTAATTCCTTATGTAGCAAGTTAAGTAACTTCTCTGAGCCTCAGTTGCTTCAGTAGGAACATGCTGTCAATACTGACTTTAAGGATTGTTGTAGGAAGATTGAATATGGTCACATGAATTAAAGCGCACAGCTCAGTAACATAGTAGGTGCTCAGTAAATCAGTGTAGTAAAATAAGGATCCTTCTGATTTGCCTAGTTCTTTCTGCATCTTGCGTCAATACATCTCTTTCTGTCCAAAAGAGAAATGACAGCTGTTCCTATTGTTGCCAGTGTGGCTGCCATTCTTGCTTTTATCCAAAGGAAAAAAACTAGGAGCCATTTTCTGATTCCTCTCTTTCACCCTTTGTCATTAAATTCTGCCAATTTATTTGAAGAAACTCTAATTCTTTTCCCTCCTTTGAGCTGACCGAGCACTTCCCTGACACTGGTCTTGGTTCATAATTATATGCCTGCATTATTTCGTCAGCTTCCTGTTTTTCCTTCCTCTATGCCGAGGTTTTTCAACCTCTGCACTATTAACATTTTGGGCTGGATGAGTCTTCATTGTGAAGGGCTGTTCAGTGCATCTTAGGATGGTTAGCAACATCCATGACCTCTGGCTACTAGATCCCAGGGGCATTTCCTCAGTTGTGACAACCACGAATGTCTCCAGACATTGCCAAATAATTTCTGGTGGGTGGAGGAGGAAATAAATTGCCCTCAGTTGAGAACCACTGCTCTAACATTAATGTTTTAAATCATTTCACCAAGCTGAGAGATTAATTGTCAATTGGTAGTATTCTTGCTATATTTCTTCACTTCAAGGACTGTTAATTGATTTATATTTCCCAAAGATACTAATATCTTTTCCTAGTTGTCAAGTTCATCAATAATTGGTCCTAGTTATTTTTCTTTGAACTAGAACTTTTTAAAGTTTAATGTACCTATGAATTGTAAAGTCATCTTTTAAAAATGCAAATTCTGCCATAGTAGATCTGGGTGAGGCCTGAGACACTGCATTTGAAAAAGTTCCCAGGTGGACTTGATGCTGCTGAACTATAGAGAACTTTGAGTGGCAAAGTATTGAAGGACCTCAACCAAGTGCTTCAATACCTGCTGAGTGTTCATAAAGGACCAGGTCCTGCTTAAGAGGAGCTCATAGAACAGTACAAGGGAGAAAGAAATAAGCAAGTAACTATAATACAAGTTGATACTTGTTATCATTGAAGTAGGAATACAAAGATGTGGAGATGCAAGTAAGGGAGAAATTCATTCTACCTGGGGCTGGTAAGTGAGGGGTAAAGAGGAAATACTTGAAATGATTAGAGAAAGCTTTGATGTGGAAGTCCTCCTTCATTTGGGCCTGTAGAGTAGGTAGGTGGTCTATCAGGTGGAGAGGAAAGGGAAGTACCTTTGAAGGAGGTGAGAACAGCATGATCAAAATCAGAGAGATATAAAAATGCAGGAACGGTGTTCAGTGTGGCTAGCACCCAGGTTGGGAGTGAAGAGGCTCAGTAAACTGCCTTCAGACTGGGAAGCGCCTTGTCTGTCCTACTATGTATTTGAGATTTATTATGTTAGCCGGAGGGTTTTTAAGTAGGGAAAAAATATGATCAGGTGCTTGTGTTTGAAAGACCATGCCGATGGCTGTGTGGATGGTGGGTATAATGAGGAACATCCAGGAGTTAAGCCAAGCTGCTAGAGGTGAGCGTCTTAACTAGGATGAGAGCAGCGGAGGCTGTGGTGAGCTGGAGCTGACTCACACCAGCCCACGCGCGTCGATGGGGGGCGTCTCTTCCCAACTCCAAATGTAATCATGGTGGTAGCTTGAAATCAGCCACAGTGGGAATATACACCATGAAAAGTGGCAAATGCCAGAAATATTTCCCTGAGAGCCAATTGTTAAGCATTTATTAGCACAACACTGTGTGTCACTGAGGAAGCCAGGTGTTATAGCCACCTGGAGGTGTTTATTAGATGTGTCTGAATGAAAAACAAGAAAACATCACCAATAACATGCCCTTATTTGGGCAATTCAGTTAAGTCATTTATTTATACAATGCATACTGATTGAGGACCCCCTGTATGCCTGGCATTGTTCCAAATACCTGTCCCTGTGGAGCTTACATTCTAGTGACATGGTGTCACTAAGTGAGAAAAGCTGCGGGCAGTGGAAGATACTTATTTTAGTCTGGGATGTGGATGGTATCCAGTTGGAGTTGGATATGGTTTGGCTTTGCCCGCACCCAAATCTCCTCTAGAATTATAGTTCCCGTAATTCCCAGGTGTCATGGAAGGAACCTTGTAGGAGGTGATTAGATTATGGGGGTAGTTCTCCCACGCTGTTCTCGTTATAGTGAGTGAGTTCTCACAAGATCTGATGATTTTATAAGGGCTTTCCCTCCCTGCCCCCTTCACTCAGCACTTCTTCCTGCCACCAGGTGAGGGATGTCTTTACTTCCCCTTCTGCGGTGATTGTAAGTTTCCTGAGGCTTCCCGAGTCATGCTGAACTATGAGTAAATTAAATCTCTTTCCTTTATAAATTACCTAGCCCCAGACAGCATGAGAATGGACTAATACAGAGTCTTTTAGGATTCACAGAGACTCTTTCAGTCATAAATGTACATCCATATCCTGTGCTATACTTTCTAGAGCATTTCAGATACAATTCTAATTAAATATTTACAATAACTTTGTCGGGCAAATGGGAGAGGTAGCTATTGCTCAGATGGGAAAAACTAAGGCTCAGCTATTTGAAGGATTTGCTCGAAGTCACAGAGCAAGTTAGCATCCGAGTCAGGATTTGAGTCCTGGGTTTCTGGCAACTAGCCTAGTCCTGTCTGCACAGTGCCCATTCTATTGTCTGCTCAATCACCATTATACAAACGATCACTATCAATTATATGATGGGACCATCACGGAGACGTTCCCCTGCAGGCTCATGCCATTTTCACCCTCAAAGTGCTTCCCCGGCTGTGATCTCAGTTCCTGCTCACAGCCCTAGGTGCTACTCCATGGTGCTCATTTGGGCTTGTTGCTAGGTGCAGCTGAGCTGAGAGTCACAGTCTCCCTGCTCCCTGCAGTAAGCCATGGTTGCTCTGATTATGCTAATAGAGGTTTTTGCCTGCTGTTGCTATCAGAGACAGATCTCTCCCAGTCCTATTTCTGCTTCCCTTCCCTTGTACCTGCTCTTGATTCCTTTCCATCTCACTAATTTCTGTCCTAAAATGATATACTGTTACCTCAGTGATTTACTAAATAATAGTAATAAAGAAAAAACAGTAAAAACAGGTGGCAGAAGAATCTGTATTTGTTGAATGATGAGTACAGTATTCATAAATAAATTCTTAAAATAGAAAATGCTCCAGACTGGTTCAAAACTTGCACTACAATATTATAAATATTAAGTTTATAATGTTATAATATTAAAAGAGGGAAATAGAAGGCCTGATACATGGACTTAGAAAATGGGGGCTTCAATTGCTTAAGAGTCAGGAGTTAATAAAACCAAATACTGCTCATGTTTGAGATGATTAAATGCTTTTCTGTAGGCATTTGGGTGAACACCCAGACAGAACAGGAACTATTTTCCAAATGGCATATCACACTAACTTTCCAAAGTGCAGCTACTTTCACATAACTAGCTTTCCCTTTTTCTTTTGTAAAAGCATTTTTGTGTGCACATGAGTATATGTCTGAATATATATTTATATATGAGACTATATATATAGATATGAGTGTATCTAAAGCAGCTACAGTAGTGTTGCTTGGCTGAGTAGGAGGTGATACAGGACTGTGCTATTAGTGAGCGGGAGGTAGGAGGTGGCTATGGCTGATGGGCAGGCGTGTGAGGTAATCGCAGGGTAATACTGTCTGCAGGTATTTTTAGATGACACCAGAATGAGAGGATGTTGGTTGGTGGTGATGGTCTTTCTTCTTCTAGAACATAGGGATGAAACACACATAATAAGAACATAAGGCTTGCCAATTTGGAGCACCTTTTGTCCATCCAGCCTAAACTACTGATGACAGAGGCATAAACAGCTGTGTTGTGGGAGAGTAGGTTTTTAATCTACCTTGGCATCCACCATAAATGTTAGGGACTATGCCCTCGAAATCCTGGGTTTCCCTTAATAAGTCACTGTAGATGTGTCATCTTTTAATCTATTTCAATCTTTTAAATAAATGTTGGCTTGGGCTATTTCTTGGGGAAAAAAGTGTTTCTTGGTTTGGCAAAGTTTGCTTTCCCACTGCGTCAAGTAGAACGTCTAAATTATCTTTAACTTACCTTTTTTTTAAATCAAGCTTTAAGGGGGCACACAAGTTATTTAGCTCTAAAATTCAGTGCATTTTGTAGGATTTTAGCTTATCATCATGTTTTCCCAGTGAGAAATACACCAACTGTAATCAAATGAGATTATGAAGATATGTTCTGGAAACTAAAATTTCTGTAAAGTTGCTGTCATTTTTACAATTTTTACTGTTGTTTTACTCATGATCAAAACCTAGAAGCCTTCCCCAACTCACATCCATTTTCCAGATCCTAGGTATTTTGTCAACTAACTACCTACTAATGTAACATTGTTTTAAAATTTAGATGCTACATTCAATGCTGGAAGCTCTTTAGGATCTATATCCCTGAGAGGAACAAGATAGTTAAAAATATTCATTGGGACAAACCAGCTTGAACTTTCTCACATTACATCTCCCATTCTTGTTGAATATGGGCAAAACCAAGTCTCTTTTATATGGAAAGAACCAATATCTGAGATATAGGTTTAAAAGCTCTTTCTTCTCTTCCTCCTCCTCCTCCTCCTCCTCCTTCTTCTTTCTTCCTCTTCCTCTTCTTCTTCTTCTTTTTCTTCTTTTACTATGAGAGTATTCTGAAGTGTGCTAGGAAAATTTAAACCAATATTCATATTAGAACAGCACTTTAAAAAGCAAATTGCTCATAAATATTAGTTGAAGTACCCTTAAAGAAATTTGATGTATTGATATACTTTTACATTTCAGTATAGCTTGTTTTTATATACAATCCTCCTATAACTTTGACAGTTATAATTTACGTGTGTGTGTGTGTGTGTGTGTGTGTTTGTTTCAAGACTTGTGGCTCATGCCTATAATCCCAGCACTTTGGGAGGTTGAGGCAGGTGGATCACGAGGTCAAGAGATCAAGACCATCCTGGTCAACAAGGTGAAACCCCATCTCTACTAAAAGTACAAAAATTAGCTGGGCATGGTGGTGTGCACCTGTAGTTCCAGCTACTCGGGCGGCTGAGGCAGGAGAATTTCTTGAACCCAGGAGGTGGAGGTTGCGGTGAGCTGAGATTGTGCCATTGCACTCTAGCCTGGGTAACAACAGCGAAACTCCGTATCAAAAAATTAAAAAAAAAAAGACTTGTATAGGCCCTGGATATCTCTTGCTGGGTTTCCCATCTCAGTAATGGCATCTGCCTCCAAAGAGTCACTAGTGTAAAACCTACAAGTCTTCCACCGTCATATACAATCAGTTTCCAGGTGCTGTACAGTCCATCCACTTTTCTCCATCTGCACTAACACATCTTCAGTCCAAACTGTAATCTTTTATAGGTTCCAGCAATAGCCTCCAACTAGTCTCTCTGCATTCACTGTTGCTTTCCTCAATCCAGTCTGCAGCTAGAGTAATTAAAAAAAAAAACAAAAACAAATTGGATGACATTACTTTCTATTGGCAAGACCAGCTCCCAATACATCAAAGTGGGTTTAAGATCTCTCAAAGTGATGGAGTGGTTGGTGAAAAAGAAAGAGAGACAAGGAAGAAGTTTTCCTTAAAGCTGGGCCCAGGGGAGATACCACGTAATGCTGCTCCATGATTGTCTGACATTCCCCTGAAAACCTCAGTTTTTTATTGTGCTCTTTCAATAGAAGAGGAGGAGTGAAGTTACGGAAAGTTTCAGTGATAATCATACAAAAAGAATACACAGTTGCAAAAACTGCTGCACAAAAATCACAAGGTGGTATTATAAAAGCAGAACAATGTAAAGATAACTTTCTGTGTGTCAGCATAGAAATCATACACCTTAGCAAGATTGTAGGTTAAACATAAACTTATGATTATCAGCAAGAGCATATTGGGCTCACAGCTACAGGAGGAACAGGATCTGACACAGGACAACTAGCCTGACCACAAACTCTACAAGAGGAGAGGGCCTCCATGCAGGCCTGGCAGAGCAGTAGATGAAGAAAGACTTTTACATCCTTATTAACCGCAGAGACAGACGCCCCTCACGCATCCGTTTATAGGCTCTCCATAAGGGTTGTATTCCCTTTCCAGGGCCCTAATCAATACGCCTTTCCTGGGAAAGGAAATTTAGGTAATAAGCCTCTTCATTACACATCCACTTATGGGCTCTCTGCAACGAGATGCCCATTACGCACTGTCATCTCTCTCTGGCAGTCAAGTTATGTGGTTAGTCCCTTTCACAGAGTTCCTGTTTTTACCAGAACAGTTCAATAGAGCCAAAGTTACAAGTTGCAGCTCAGCAGAGCCAAAGTTAGAAGCTACATCTCAGCAGAACCAAAGACAAGTTACATCTTAACATTTCACATTATCCTTCATTTTCTCAAATATAATCAATACAGTAAGTAACAAGCACACAAAGCAAATAACTCATTTCAGGGAAACCAAATTCTAAGAGAATATACAGGTTAAAAATTAACAACAATTTCTTCTTATTTCAGGTAGCTTGGGTTTTGCCAATTCTTCCAGAAGCTTGGGGTTGCTCAGTCACCACAGAGGGGTTCAGAGTATTCCTAGCAACTTTCCTACTTCAAAGGTTTATTCCTGCTTTTAAGTTGATACTCATTACTCTTACAACAGTCTGTAAGGCCGGCAGGAACCTGTCTATATTCTGTTCTCCACCTTCTCTCCTCTCAGATACCAAATTACTACTCCTGCCCCATACATCTTCTCTCTCCTTTCCATTGTGCCATTAAAGATTTTTATCCCCTCTTTCTGGAACACTCAACTCCTCCTCTCGAAGAGGCATGCCCTGACATACATGGACACACACACACACACACACACACACACACATGTCCCTGTAGTCTTTAACGAGTTAATGCCTACTCACTGTTTTAGGCCTCTCCTTAAAAGGAACTTAAGAACCTGTTTTACCACTCAGTTCCCCAGACCGCCTGCCTTATGTCTTCTGAGTCCTATCTCCTAATACCCTCTTTCTGAGTTTTGATTAAAAATCCCAGAGCATGTCTAAATATATAATTTCTCTGTGATTCATTTATATCTCTCTTTCCTTCTAGACCATAGGCTCAGTGAGGGCAAATAGCTCCTCTGATTTACTGCTATATCCCTGGCACTTAACATTGGTCCTCATCCATCATGGCCATCCATTCAATAGTTATTTATTGGGTTGACAAATGATTGTTCTGTAAATATTATAGTGGTCTCTTCTAATGCAATCTCTTTCTAACCTATTGTTAAGGCACTGTCTGGTATCCAGATAATCAAGAGGTTTCTCTTTCAGGTAAATACCAAGTCATATGCCTCAGGCCACATACTACCATCAACCTGTGGGAAAAGAATGTTAATATCACTGGCTTGCACCTAGAAAACCTCAGTCATCCTAAATGACTTTATTTAAAGTTCCTTAGAAATACATAAAGACTATGGCATTCTATTGGGGAAAATTTTAATAAATTTTCTTAGGTCATTTGACTTTCTCATTCTACTATTTGCCTTGTCAAAAAAATTTGGTTTATCTATAGAATGGCCTTTAATTCAGGAATTACAACATTATTTAACATGCATAAATCAATCAATTTATTTATTTACTTATTTATATATTTTGGTATTTATTCCCTGGACTGCTTAGCAGAATTTATTTCCTTCTTTCTTTTAGGGGTATATCTATATCTATCCATGTAAAGTCTCTTTATATAAATTTATATAAATTATTTATTAAAATTGTTATTTATATAAAACATATTTATAAATTTATATATACTTAAATATATGTAAAATACATATTTTTTTTTTTTTTTTTTGAGACGGAGTTTCGCTCTTGTTACCCAGGCTGGAGTGCAATGGCGCGATCTCGGCTCACCGCAACCTCCGCCTCCTGGGTTCAGGCAATTCTCCTGCCTCAGCCTCCCGAGTAGCTGGAATTACAGGCACGCGCCACCGTGCCCAGCTAATTTTTTGTATTTTTGGTAGAGACGGGGTTTCACCATGTTGACCAGGATGGTCTCGATCTCTTGACCTCGTGATCCACCCGCCTCGGCCTCCCAAAGTGCTGGGATTACAGGCTTGAGCCAGTAAAATACATATTTTAAACTTACTGATTTTTTTTTTTCTAGAGATGAGAGCTCACTGTGTTGCTCAGGCAGGTCTTGAACACCTGGTCTTAATAAGTGTTCCTTTCACCTCAGCCTCTTAGAGCACTGCGATTACAGGTGTGAGCCACTGTGTCCAGGGATAAATCAATCCTAAATCCCTGGCACTTATAATATTGGAATATATAGGCTTAATATGCCCAGCCTGAAGATTCTCTCCTCAAAACACTAAGTTCTATGACAGTTGTAAAATGGTTTTTTGTTATTTACATAAGGATAGGCCTTAAAGAGCAGTTTAACAGTAGCTGCTGTTTCTTCAAGAATCACATATTTTTTGCTGCCTTTTGGAGTTAACTCATCCTATCAACACTAGCGGCATACATGAGTGAATGAATAAAATGAGGAACGTATGAATTTGGGCCAAAAAGGCAAATTAGAAGGCAATCAGTATGTTGCTTTCTGTAGCCAAGTTATGCAATCCCTAATTGCCCTTCTATTTCTGAGAGTCTGTTGAATAAATACCAACAGTTTCCTGGGCAGACTTAGATTAGCGACCCTGAGTGGAGACTTCCTCACCTGGCCGAACCTTATTGTCCTCAGCCAATGGAAGACAGTTAGGAAATTATGTCTATCCCAAGAGGACTTTCTTTTCTTTTTTTTTTTTGCTTTGAGACGGAGTTTCGCTCTTGTTACCCAGGTTGGAGTACAATGGCGCGATCTCGGCTCACTGCAACCTCCGCCTCCCGGGTTCAAGCAATTCTCCTGCCTCAGCCTCCCGAGTAACTGGGACTACAGGCATGTGCCACCATGCCCAGCTAATTTTTGTATTTTAAGTAGAGACGGGGTTTCACCTTGTTGACCAGGATGGTCTCGATCTCTCGACCTCGTGATCAACCCGCCTCGGCCTCCCAAAGTGCTGGGATTTTAGGCGTGAGCCACTGCGCCTGGCCAGGACTTTTTAATAATTGTGCTGGGAACGGATATTTTGATTGCAATAAAAAACATAGAAGTATAAAACTCATGATGAAATTTTTTAAGGAAAAAAGAATAGTTTCTAAATCTCCTTTAGGCATTTTGAGAAAATATTTTGGTATGTATTCCATGATGTTAAACTCTGGCTTCTTAACGATTAGCATAAATGGTCATGAAGAGGTCAATTTTCTTTCTTGTAATAGCCACCGAGGCTGACAGGATCCGGCCTGTATATTCATAAGAAAATCATATATTCAGGTCACCCTTCCTTCCTCTTCCCATCTTCCTTCACGTTGTTGACTAAAGATTGCCAAAATAAAACTTTTATTGGTCCCCAAACCAAAGCTGCCTCTTCCATGAGAGAATTTTATTTTGGGTTGATATTTCCCTAGAAGTGACGAAAAAATAATTAGTGGAAGGGACATGAAATTTTATGTCAGGAAACGTGAGTTTGAGTTCTAACTATTCCTTACTGCATGCACCATCTTGGTCTGCTCCTTAGCAATTCTGAGCCTTTATTTTTTTTGTCCCTAAAAGAAAACCAATGCTAGGACCTGTCTTTCAGGATTACAGTAAAAATACAGCATGATAATGGATATAAAAAATGCTTGATAAACTGAAAAAAAGCTTTACGCTTGTTAGTTACCATTGTCATTAATTAGCAACATAGACTGTTTATACTATTCGCAATTACTAGGGCATCTGATCATAAATTTAGCATCAGCCAAATGCTCTCCAAAGACAGCTGACATTTAAATAAACATGTCATGTATCTGTGGAACTAGAGACTTTATATTCTATCCCTGTATTAAGTCAAGCAAATTATTTGAACTATATTATTTAGATTATTCTGTAGAAGTTTCCTAGGTGACTTTTAGTTTATGATACTCTATGATTTTGTAAAGATTTGATATTAAAATTATCTGCTTAAAATAGCCTTTCTCTATTTTTTTGCAGAACGTGGGCTAAAGATAGCACCCATAATGCTGTTGTTAAACAGCATCCTTTTTGCTAGGTTAAATAAAATATTCCTTGATTATAAACCTAAGGCAAGTTTTGACTGCACCTAGATTTAAGTTCTGTATGACAGGAAATAAGACTTCTATGACTTCATGGTTTTTCCCCCCCATTTTTATTAAATGTATTAGACTGTTTAGAACTAAATTTTGTGAAATTTAATGGAACGTCTGCCCCATCTATTCACTTAAGTACATGGGAACATCTTTGCCTTGAAATTGCTCTTGGTGAATGGAATCCTGGTTTTCATTGTTACATTGTATATTAGCCAGTACATTTTGGATTCAATGGAGTGTACATCTTAAATATAGAAATAAATACAGTCAGGGCAAAGATGCTATATAGTTCAGATTTCCTATGTCTTAATGAGTAATCCCACAGTGTATATTCAATTCTGTATCCCTTTAGGACTTAACCTGATAAAGAGAAAATTGCATTGTAGTTTACAATAGTAGGAATGAGTATTTATGCAATAAAGCTTTACTACCCACCTCAACAAGAAAAATCCACATTTCAGAGAAATGTCATGGTTGAGACCTTTTACCTCTTTCAATTGCTCATCCTTACGCCTCCTACTTAAAAATTACAAACGTTTGGTTTTTCTTCTCTATGTCCATAGAATATTCACACTTAATACCTACCATATCTCCTCATCTCTGGGCATGGTTCCCTTGGCTGTTTTAGTGGTTTCTCTAATATCTGGGCCGCCTATCAGAGCCTGAGCATAAAAAGGAGGCAATACAGGACTGGGCTTATCCTACATGTCCTCCCAAGAGTCACATTCTTTTTTTTTTTCAGACAGAGTCTCACTCTGTCACAAGGCTGGAGTGCAGTGGTATGATCTTGGCTCACTGCAGCCTCCACCTTCTGGGATCAAGCAATTCTTGTGCCTCAGCCTCCCAAGTAGCTGGGACTACAGATGTGAGGCACATGCCCAGATAATTTTTTGTATTTTAGTAGAGACAGGGTTTCACTATGTTGCCCAGACTGGTCTTGAACTCCTGAGCTCAGGCAATATCCATGCCTTGGCATCCCAAAATGCCAATAGTCAACCTCTTAAGCTAGACTTTCTTATCTTACTATCAATCTCCTAAGGCCACATTCTTTTAAGCACTTATGTTTTAAGTAAGATAAAAGAGAATTTGATCCATCTTAATATGACTTGAAGTTTGCATCTTGCTGAGGCCAATCTTGTCAACTTTTTAGATTTTCCTTTCTTGTGTCAAAGGATTCAAGGTCCAATTAAGACCTATCTGTAAAAGAAGCTACATCCCTCTGGTGTTTATTACACACCATCTGGTATATAATAAAAATAGTATAACCAGATGTTTTAAAACTTAGAAAAGTTTTTATCTATTTTATTTATTTCATTAAACATTTCAGAGCAATGTATTACACACTTGGGATACAAAATAATGTCAGTTATAGTTTTTACCTCTAAAGAGTTCACTAGCTCATGGTTGTCATTGCTATTAGTACCTAGCTCAATACCTGAGACATAATATGCAAACAAACAATGGTTGCATATTGTGAAAAAAGAATAAAAGAATTAGATGTTTAGTTTTGTATAAGTTTTGCATTAGCATATCTATAGTATTTTATAAAAAAGGAACTGAAACCTTCATTCCTGTGTCTATTAAGTCTCTGGGTGTCCCATTTGAAAGTTTAATAGTTCACTAGAATCTGCATTCAATATTACTACCCCCAATGCAGAAATATTCTCACCATTCTATGAGATCAAGGTCACCCCAAAATCCTTTTTGTTTTGTTTTTTCTTAAACAGAATGGATGGGATGGAAATCATTTTCGCAGTTTGTTTCTTTTCCACGTGGCAGAATTTTCTCCAAAATACTCAACTGTTATTTCAGGTACTTTCCAAATTGTCCAGTAGCTCGCAGTTAGATCTGGGAAGTAAAATGAACTCTTGAGAGTGATTCTTTGAGAACGTGTATTACTCCCTTGTCCATGCAATTCTAAGAGGAAATGGTGTGATCTTCAAGGTCAGGGAAGGTATGTACAAAAGTACATTTTGAAGACTGTGACAGGTATATTTAAAAGAACCATCTCACTTGTTTGGAAGGTTTCTTTAGAGAAACAACAAGTTAGAATCACAGAGTCATGAATTTTGAAGTTAGCTCAAAAACGAGATCATTTTTGAATTTACTTAGACGTTTTTAGATTTCCTGCTCAACTTTAGCAAGTGCCACTAGTGGAAATAATCAGTAAAAATAGAATAGGAGGCTTCATGTAAGTGGTCCAAGCACATTCAGTTAAATGAACTTAGAGCACTAAGTACTTTGTTTCAGTCACACCAGATTAGATTGCATTGCTTCCCCATTCTGAGACAAAGCTAAACTTTGTGGAAACAACATCCTGCAAGGAGTAGTTGCCTTCTTGGTTTTGCCCTCTCTGGGCAGCATAATCTTTACTGTAATAGTTAAGCAGTACTTATTTTATCCATTTTGGATATAAAGATGCTTATGCCTGGCATGGTTTTGAACACAGGATTTATGAGGGCAAACAAATAGTGTATAAATAAATGAATGTTTGTAGTTACACAGTGAACTTAACTAAAATTTACCTCCAACAGTTACAAAAGCTATAGAGTGCTCATCTTCCTTGTACTTCATACTGGTTTCTGCCTTCTCAAACCACAGCCCTAATTGTTATTTATAGAAATGGCTTCATATTTTTATTTTGAATTACTCAATGTTTGCTTTTGTTTAAGTTCCTGTCTGGTATGGTTAAGAGCATGTGCTTAAGTTCCTTACTTGGCTTGGCCATTTATAATACTACCATGTGATGTTTGGCTATTTAACATCTAAGTTTCTTCCTATATGCAAACTGGGAATCCTTATAACATTTAGCTCACTGTGTGGTTGTGAGAATTAATGGATTGGTACCTGATCTTAGTTCATTGAAGCATTCAGTTAAGTCTTAACTATGACTATTATTACTATCTGTAGAAAATTTACAAGCTTATATCATAAAGAAGCTTTCCCAAATGTCTATCATTCGTTACTTATGACTGCGAAAATAATCTGAGCAGCTCAGGGGTGTCCTCTCTTATGGTCTTACTCTATGGCCTTTGTTCCATGAGCTACCTGTGGACCTCTACACTTATTTGAGCCTATCTTGGGGCAACTTAAATCTCTGCATAATTTATTTAAAATTATAAATTGTTTTTTGTCTATGAAACTCTGTATCCTGTGGACAAGATCCCTCTTTTCAGAGAAGCTATGTTAGTCACATGGAACGTTTTTATTTAACTCTCTAAAAGAGAGACCTAGGTGGTTAAGTTGCTATTTTAATGCAGTAATAGGTTTGGACATCTGTTCTACAGTAGATACTCAGTTTAGGTAATTTACTGACCCTGCATGCAATAGACTTCTATCTTGGTGTTTGAGGCACACTTTCTATTCTTTGTAATGATTTGCTGTGACAAAACAATGCCTACCTACTCTCGCTGTACATTTGCTGAAAATGTCTCCCTCAATCCACTGAAATTCAAACTGCCATGAATTGCTTCATTCTTCTTAGATCAAAGCTGATTTATTCTTTCAAGGACTCCTAGTGTATGGGAGGGACATTGGGGAATGTGTGTGAAGGCAGTTTATTTTAAAATTTTCAAGAACCCCTCATCTGCTATCTCTCTGACACTCCCTCTATATCTCATTATTCTTGTCATTTCTGGGAACATTGTGGATGCCAGTTTGCGTTTGTGCATAAAAAATTATGGTACTCAGGAACTGACCCTTTGTCGTACTAGCTGGGTCCATTCCCTTTAATGTGGAAATGGGACCACTGAGGGAAGAATGGCCAATGGTTGAAGTGAAGCTCCTCTGCAAGTGAATTTAGATTATATAATAAGCTAAAAACACATTTCCAAAAGCATATTTGAGAAGAGAGTTTCCATTTATGGTACAGTGACCTGTTCTGGGCCAGATGCCCACTGAAGTCACTTAGGGCATACAATGTTCAGTTATCTTTGCGATGAAAATCTCTCAGGGATTGCAAAGCCTCTAGGCCAATGTACTGAGTCAGGATTGATGTAAGCCCTGTTATAGGACCAAGAAGCAAAGATCTCCTTTTGTTTATTATTTCTAAGGTATTAGAAGACACAAGGTATATCCATGAATTTCTTTAGAATGAGGCTTTCTCTTCCTTGGGCTGGTGCTGAGACTGCTGAGGGTCAATAGCCTTCAGCTGCCTAGAAACTCTGTTAGTTGACTGAATGGTTCTTTGAGGCACTGGCTTGACTCTTTCTGAAGTCACGTCTTTGACTTTATCTTTAGATATATTTCCCATTTCTCATATAATCAAATGGGACAGTGCTTCTAAACCTCCTGACATTGTATAACAAGGATCTCCTTCACCAGATTCCAGTATTAGTTTCTTTACTCTGCTATTAAGCCCTCACCTGCAGCTTTCACAGAGTATTCTACTAGTAGACCCTTAAAGATGCTTCAGGATTTCACTGATGTTTTTCTCAGATTCTCTTCAGCTGCCATCTGCTGTCCATTTTCAAAGCCACTTTCATAATTTAGGCTTATGTTATGGTAGCACATAATTCTTTGTATGGAAATCTGCATTAGGTATCTGTTGTTGCATAACGATTTACACCAAAACTTTATGGCTTTAACGATAATAATCATTATCTCATAGAGTTTCTGTGGGTTAGGTCCAAGGACAGCTTTGCTGTTAGGTGCTATCTCAGAGTCTGCCATTAGATTACAGTCAAGATGCCAATCTGAACTGCGGTTATTTCAAAGCTGAACATGACTGAAGGATCTGCTTCCAAGCTGGTTCAATTAAATGACTTGTTGCTGGAGGCCCCATTTTCTTCCTATGTGGACCTCTCCGCAGGGCTGCTTGAGTCTACTCATAACATAGCAGCTAACTTCTCCAAGAGAGTGACTCAAGTGAGAGAAAGGCAAAAGCCATGATGCTCTTTGTGACCTAGCCTTAGTAGTCAGATATCATTATTTCTGCAATCTAATGGTTACACAACTCAGCCCTATTTACTATGGGAGGGAGGGACTACATAAAGGTGTGAATATCATGATACAAAGATATTTGGGAGACATCCTGAAGGCTGAATACAACAGGAGATAACACAGAAATTAGCAAATGGTGGAAGCCAAGCAGTGGTGTACTAATAAACCAGCTTTTTGAAAACTAAAACAAAAATATCCTGATTATAGTGTTTTTCATGATATAAATGCTCTTACCGTATTCAATTTTAAGATACCAATGGTTTAACAACAGGCTTGCAAAATTCCCAAATACTTCACAGTTGATTTACATGAGCCAGCAAGAGCCAACTCCAGCATACCATTGCCCCCAGAAAGGGAGGAGGCTATGTTCTTGGAGGCTAGGAATCAAGGCTCTTTGAAGAAAGCTGAAACTTGAGTGGGCTTGTCAAGTGCCAGTTAGAGACTTATGGAAGAACCTCAAGAGCTGCTTGAGAAGCTGGTGATATAGGGACCTCAAGAATACAGGCAGTAGGAGTTAGCCCTTTGCAACTTAGAGCAGAAAAAGGAAAGGGGTGCAGAAGGATGGGCTCATTTTGGTGTCAATAAATGTGAGAGCTTGGAAATATCTATAGAGACAGAAAACACAGTAGTTGACTGAAGCTGAGGATGAGAACAGAAATGAACTGTAAATGGGCATGAAGTATCTTTTTGATACGATTGAAATGTTCTAAAATTGGGTTTTGAGAATGGTTACACAACTCTGTAAATTTACTGAAGTTTTTTTTTTTTAATGGAACAGCTAAGATTCTATCCAAATCTCTAATTCTACCAGACCATGTGACTATGGGGTATCAGAAAAAGAAAAGTTTGCCCATTATATAGTGTTTGGTATTTTAGCCTTTAAGGCAGCCCTAATGATCTCCATCTCTTGGCATTTAACTTCTTGTTTAATCCCTTCCCTTTGAGTTTGGGCTTGCTTCTAATCAACAGACTATGACAAAGGTGAGGAGATGTTATTTCCTTGGTTATGTTACGTTGCATAAGATTTCATCTTAATAGTAAATTCATCTCTTTGTCTTCAAAGTCTCTTCCTAGCTTTGAAGAAGAAAGCTACTCTGAGTCCTGTAGTCAACACAAATACATTGTGTCAACAATATGAATGAGCTTGGAAGTGGCTTCTTCCCCAGTTAAGCCACTAGATGAGAATGCAGCACAGCTGGCACTTTGATTGCAACTTGTAAGATGCTGAGCAGAGGACTCGACTAAGCTCTGCCTGAACTTCTGATCCACATATATATGAGAGAATAAATGTACGCCCTCATCAGATGCTAAGTTTGTGATAATTTTTTATAACCACAATAGAAAAATAGGAAATCCTTATTTGAATATAGTTATATAAAAATTTGTGGTTATGTTTATGTTCAATGTTTATGCTATTGTAATTTTGTGAACACATTTTTGCAGGTGAATGATGTGGTGTTCTATAGTTACATTTCATTTCTTTCAAATTTTGTTCTTGTCCAGAGTAAATAATTCTATTGGTTTTCTTTGATTTGCTTTCTATACCACTATTTTACTAAACCACTATTTTATTACCAAACTAACCACTATTTTATTACCAAACCTTTTGTATAAGTGTAAACCACTATATACTAAACCACTATTTTATTACCGAACCCTTTGTATAAGTGTAAATCTATTATCAATATTGTCAAACGTATGAGGCAAACTCTCAGCTTAATTGTTGCTATTGAGAAGTTTAATTCCATTCTGATTCTGTCTCCTCATCTCCACCCCAGAAAGCTTTTCAGTTATATTCATCTTCTGAATTCTGAATTTTTATGATGATGTATCATGGTGGTAGTTCTCTTTTATTCATTGTATTGGACACCTAGTAGGAACTTTCAATGAGGAAACATATGTTGGTT